GAAAACCTTTAGGGGACACCCCTTAAGATCTGTGGTTTTGGGATTTGAATCTTCACAAAACCTTAAGGGGGACACCCCTTGCGATTTGTGCTTTTTGCACTTACTTGTCATGAAAACCTTTAGGGGGACACCCCTTAAGATCTGTGGTTTTGGGATCTGAGTTTTCACAAAACCTTAGGGGGATATTTAAGAAGGAGAGAAGGGAGGGTTGGGGGGGGGTGGAGATTCCAGGAGAGAGAAAGGGGAAGAGGAGAGGTAGAGGGAGTGGAGGTGGGGGAGAGTGAGGAAGGTGAGGGGAGGGGGTAGTGGGAGGGATAGGGAGAGGGAGGGAGGGGTATGGGAGGAGGACGAGGGATGAGGAGGAGGAAGATAGTGAAGATGATGAGGTGGATGATAAAGAGGGAGGGGTGGAGTGAGGTGTGTGGTGGGATGGGACGGGGTGGGTGGGCACGGCTGCCTGCTTCCGCACGCCCAGCCTTCCCTGCCCGAGCCGCGACCGAGCAGAAAGCATGTAAATATCGCGCTATAACAAGGGCTAGGGATTTCACACATCTGCTGGCAAAATCTGGCGGAAGTGACCTGTGGTCCAGCAAAACACCTGTAAATACCGCATGAAAACAAGGACTAGGGATTTCACACATCTGCTGGCAAAATCTGGCGGAAGTGACCTGTGGTCCAGCAAAACACCTGTAAATACCGCGCTAAAGCAGGGGCTAGGGATTTCACACATCTGCTGGCAAAATCTGGCGGAAGTGACCTGTGGTCCAGCAAAACACCTGTAAATACCGCATGAAAACAAGGGCTAGGGATTTCACACATCTGCTGGCAAAATCTGGCGGAAGTGACCTGTGGTCCAGCAAAACACCTGTAAATACCGCGTGAAAACAAGGACTAGGGATTTCACACATCTGCTGGCAAAATCTGGCGGAAGTGACCTGTGGTCCAGCAAAACACCTGTAAGTACCGCATGAAAACAAGGGCTAGGGATTTCACACATCTGCTGGCAAAATCTGGCGGAAGTGACCTGTGGTCCTGTAATACCGAGTTAAAACAAGGGCCAGGGATTTCACACATCTGCTGGCAAAGTCTGGCGGAAGTGACCTGTGGTCCAGCAAAACACCTGTAAATACGGCGTGAAAACAAGGGGTAGGGATTTCACACATCTGCTGGCAAAATCTGGCGGAAGTGACCTGTGGTCCAGCAAAACACCTGTAAATACCGCGCTAAAGCAGGGGCTAGGGATTTCACACATCTGCTGGCAAAATCTGGCGGAAGTGACCCGTGGTCCAGCAAAACACCTGTAAATACCGCATGAAAACAAGGACTAGGGATTTCACACATCTGCTGGCAAAATCTGGCGGAAGTGACCTGTGGTCCAGCAAAACACCTGTAAATACCGCATGAAAACAAGGGCTAGGGATTTCACACATCTGCTGGCAAAATCTGGCGGAAGTGACCTGTGGTCCTGTAATACCTAAAACAAGGGCTAGGGATTTCACACATCTGCTGGCAAAATCTGGCGGAAGTGACCTGTGGTCCAGCAAAACACCTGTAAATACCGCATGAAAACAAGGGCTAGGGATTTCACACATCTGCTGGCAAAATCTGGCGGAAGTGACCTGTGGTCCAGCAAAACACCTGTAAATACCGCATGAAAACAAGGGCTAGGGATTTCACACATCTGCTGGCAAAATCTGGCGGAAGTGACCTGTGGTCCAGCAAAACACCTGTAACTCAGATCCGAAAACCATAGATCGCAAGGGGTGTCACCCTAAGGGTTTTTGTAATAAATATGTTTCAAAAACACGAATCGCAAGGGGTGTCCCCCTAACTTAGGTTTTGTAAGAACTCCATTACTAGCAGCACAGATCGCAATGAGTGTCCCGTTAAAGGTTTTTTCAACCAATAGGTTCCAAAATCAAATCGAAGGGGGGGCTGGGGGGCTGGCTGGGGGCGGGGGCTGGAGGCCGGTGCGGGTGCGGGCTGCGGCTTGGGGGCCTAGGGTTGAGGGTGGGGGGCGTGGGCGAAAAGGTAGGTGGGGTGGGGGGCCGTGCAGGAGCTGGGGCGGGGGCTGGGGCCGGGGTCTAGGGGCTGGGCTGAGGCGGGGCTGGGGTTGGGGGCAGGTTTTGGGGGTGGGCGGGGGGTTGGGGCTGTGGGGCTGGGGGGCTGTGGCTGGGGGCTCGGGGCTGGGGGCTGGGGCTGGGGTCGGAGGCTGGGGGGCTGGGGCTGGGGCTGGAGCTGAAGATTTAAATTTTTAAAATTCTTTAGATTCTTTAAATTTTTAATTCCGGACGATTTCAAAATTTAAAGAATTTAAAGGATTTACTTCCTTTAATTTTTTTAAATTCTTTAAATTTTTAATTCCGGACGATTTCAGAATTTAAAGGATTTACCCCCTTTAAATTTTTAAAATTCTTTAAATTTTTAATTCCGGACGATTTCAGAATTTAAAGGATTTACCCCCTTTAAATTTTTTAAATTCTTTAAATTTTTAATTCCGGACGATTTCAAAATTTAAAGAATTTAAAGAATTTAAAAAATTTAATTCCGTGGGCTGGGGTCGGAGGCTGGGGGGCTGGGGCTGGAGCTGGAGCTGGACATTTAAATTTTTAGAATTCTTTAAATTCTTTAAATTCTTTAAATTTTTAATTCCGGACGATTTCAAAATTTAAAGAATTTAAAGGATTTACCACCTTTAATTTTTTTAAATTCTTTAAATTTTTAATTCCGGACGATTTCAGAATTTAAAGGATTTATAACCTTTAAATTTTTTAAATTCTTTAAATTTTTAATTCCGGACGATTTCAGAATTTAAAGAATTTAAAGAATTTAAAAATTTTAATCCCGTGGGCTGGGGTCGAAGGCTGGGGGGCTGGGGCTGGAGCTGGAGCTGGACATTTAAATTTTTAAAATTCTGTAAATTCTTTAAATTCTTTAAATTTTTAATTCCGGACGATTTCAAAATTTAAAGAATTTAAAGGATTTACTTCCTTTAAATTTTTTAAATTCTTTAAATTTTTAATTCCGGACGATTTCAGAATTTAAAGGGTTTACCTCCTTTAAATTTTTAAAATTCTTTAAATTTTTAATTCCGGACGATTTCAGAATTTAAAGGATTTACCCCCTTTAAATTTTTTAAGTTCTTTAAATTTTTAATTCCGGACGATTTCAGAATTTAAAGAATTTGAAGAATTTAAAAAATTTAATCCCGTGGGCTGGGGTCGAAGGCTGGGGGGCTGGGGCTGGAGCTGGAGCTGGACATTTAGATTTTTGAAAATTGCGATTTCAAAATTTAAAGAATTTAAAGGATTTACCCCCTTTAAATTTTTAAAATTCTTTAAATTTTTAATTCCGGACGATTTCAGAATTTAAAGGATTTACCCCCTTTAAATTTTTTAAATTCTTTAGATTTTTAATTCCGGACGATTTCAGAATTTAAAGGATTTACCCCCTTTAATTTTTTAAATTCTTTAAATTTTGAATTGCGTATATACACAGTATATATTAAGACACAGAGCAAGCCCTACGCCAAATAGGACCTAAAGGTCCTACGTACATAGTAGTATAGGTTGTGACCCTTTGTATAACTAGAGGGTAGAACCAGTAAAACGGTAGGATTTTGGCTCCCCAGGTAGGGCCCAACCAAAGTACCTGTATCGGAGAAGGTCGGGTTTCTACATGAGGAGTTACTGTCAACATTGCGGGAGGTATCCCCCATAACAGTACCTAGGACCCTTTGGATGCCCACTTAAAGGACCCTAGGGTCCAAGAAACATACTGCTTGGCCCAAACAAATACGAAGCACTTCTACTATTTGTTACTCGGATCTTAACATAGGGGAGCTTGACTCTTCGAAATTGAAGCTTTACCTAGTAGTCGACTAGGTAACCTTTTACCTTTTTTGGGTAGTATAGTCCCTATATAATTCCCATATAACCAAAAAGGTTATCCTTTAATTCCCCATGATACCCGACAAGTAGGTTTATTACCCAAGCGGTCCTAGGTACTGCTATGGGGGATACTTCTCCAAGTCATAACAGTGATTCCTAAAATAGAAGCCCTACATTGCACCACATAGGTACTTTGGTCCCTTAGGGTTGTAGATATGGCATTTGGAACTTAGACCCAAGAGTACCCTAGGAATAAAAAGGGTGCCCTTTTTGGTTTCAAGGGGCTTATAAGGGAACCTGAACCCTACGAAAAGGGAATAAGGGCGTGCATTTTGCAGTTCAGGAAGCGCAGCTCTCCTGCGCCTGGTGTTGGGGAGCCGTCTTTGATGAGGTCCATTTCAGTGATGGCATCGCTTACGCCGCCTTCATGTGCAAGGCTGGGCTCTTGTTAACCTTAACCCTGAAGAATCTACCTTTTTTAAGGTACTACATATAAAAACCATAATAAGGAACCCTAAAAAAGTAGGTCTTTTCGGCTACAGGAAGGGTTTAATTTCAGTTATCATAATAAGGAAACCATATATTGTTCACTGTAGATCTCTATTATGGTAACTTAGTTCAAATCCTTAACATGAGCCCAAAAGGCATCCTTCCGTGGCGCACACTTCGAAGGTTGCAACCTTCAGAAAGCGAGCTTCCAAGACGCCACCTGGGCGCATGCCCACATTCTTGAGTGCTTGTGCAACAGGGCCTGCTTTCAGGGAACTGACATGAGCTCTGCGCGGATCAACTTCTGCTTCTTCACACGCAACGACCTCGAAGGAGCCACCTGGAGTGCAACTGAAGCGCCGAAAGTAGCCCAAGTGCAGATCGATGGCGGCCTCTTTGCTGCCCCGGTGCCGCGCAAAGTCGCGCGCCAGGGGGGGAAACCTTCGGCGGTTGGTGACGATGCTCTTCTTCGGTGACGAAGATGATGAAGAGGACGAGGAGGAGGACGATGGAGAGGAGGAGGAGGAGGAGGAGAGCGCAAAGCAAAGCCGTGAAGGCAGCGAAGCAAACCAGTCAGATGAGGAGCCCCAGTCCACCATACCTCTACTCTGTGGATCTGCGATGGACTCCGCTGTGGAGGTGCTTTGGGTACCAGTCAGATGAACATTGAAACTACCCAGACCTTCCAAAATCCCTTAACTAAGGAATGTACCCTAAGTCATAGTATACGGATCCTTAATATGATTTAAGGTATATATATATATATATATATATATATATATATTCCTTAATTAAAGGGATTTTGGAAGGTCTGGGTAGGGGCCCAGTAACCCGAGGCTATGACTCCCGATTATCGTGATTTAAAGGGGAAAAGGAGGGACCCTTAATGGGGACCCCTACCCTATAATGGGCTATATAATGGGTATATAATAGCTAGATTAAGGGTATATACCTAGGGGTCCTTATTAAGGGTCTCTCCTTTTACCCTTGGAGTGATTGAACCTTCAACCTTTTTCGGGCACAAGGTGCTGTCAGAGGCCGCCGGCACTGCAGCGGACGAAGCGGAGGCCAAAGCAACGAAACTGGGTTCTTGCGAATTAAGGTTTTGATTTAAGTAAGTAATTATAGAGATCCTCAGCTCAAAAATGGTTTCCTACGATGGTAACTGAATTCAAGTGCTTTGGCACCAAGATCCCTGAACCCGAAGCCCTACCTAGATCCAAAACCTAAACCCTTTAACAAAACAAAGCCCTACTGTTGATGGACAAAATCCTGCATTACTACCCATAATAAGGAATATACCATAGTTTAGGGTCCTGAAGGTCATGCAGGATTTATATCATCAACCCTAAACCCTAAAACCCTATAGATCCCCTAAAGGAGCCCCTTAAAGGTACCCTTATGGGAGTTTCCGAAAACAGGGGACTCTAATATAGCACCCTAAATAGTAGGATCCTTACTGTGAGGACCCCAAAATAAGGTGCCCTCAACCCTAAACCCTCAAACCCTATAGAGATCCCTTAAAGGAACTCTCTAAGGTACCCCTTATAGATCCCTGTAAGGGAACCTTTGTTGAACCCAGGAAAGCGCTGGCAAAGGCCCAGGCCAAGCTCGATGAACTGGTTGCCCGAGCGGACGGCATCGCCAAGCCTCAGGTGAAGTAGGGCTTATAATACAATTTTCTTAGATAGCCAATGGGGGAACTTTAAACTTTTAGCCTTATACATCTGGTCTATCTCAGAAAGTTTAAACTTTTTTGGGCCCGATTATTGAAGGAGAGAGTTTGGGTGAGTGTAGATAGGCTCCTTTTGAATTTTGGTGAGTGTATGTATTGGGTTTTATTATGGGGATACTAGTAATATAAGCCATACTCTAGGTGAGAGTTATGGAAATTCGGGGCCAAAGCCGGCTTGTAGGAATTACCTGTAGCCGAAAAGACCTACTTTTTAAGGTTCCTTATTATGGTTTCTAGATGTAGTACCTTAAAAAGGTAGGTCTTTTCGGCTACAGGTAGGAATTCGGGTTTAGGATTCAGGGTTTAGGGAGTAAACGCTTGACGTCAAACGAGGACATGTTGTGAGTCGGGGCCATTTTGGTATTGTAAATTCGGGTGTGTGTGTGTGTATATATATATGTATATATATATATGTATATATATACATATATATATATATATACATATATATATATATACTCATATACTGTAGTACATACTGTAGTAAGCAGGAGCCCGTTCAACCCAGCAGAAAACAGCTATGTGCTAGACGAATCAGAGATGGGGGCCTTGTAGCCCCTACTTGATGAGCAAAAGACTGACATACTGTTGATGATCTAAATCCTGCATTACCTTAAGGACCCTAGACTATGGAAATTATGGTATATTCCTTATATTATGGGTCGTGCAGGATTTATACCATCAACCGTACCCCTCAGAACCTTGTTATACGCAACTGTCAAGGCTCCTATAGGAGTAGCTTTCTATCCTTTGATCCTCATAACATAATACGGTGCCCTTATAAAGCGGACCCACAATACCACCCTGATTCAGAGAACAACTTATATCAGGCAAAACCGTGTTAAACCGTCGTAAAGCCCTGCAAACCCCGAGGGTCCATAAATGCTGGTCCATGCACCCAAAAAGGCTCCTCTAAGGGTTCCTTTGGGGGTTCCTTTTAGGGTTCCTTTTAGGGTTCCTTTAAGGGTTCCTTTTAGGGTTCCTTTAAGGGTTCCTTTTAGGGTTCCTTTTAGGGTTCCCTTAAGGGTTCCTTTTAGGGTTCCTTTTAGGGTTCCCTTAAGGGTTCCTTTAGGGATTCCTTAAGGGTTTATGAAGTTTAGGGCATAAGGGTCCATGTACCCAAATGATGCATCCTTTGGCGGCAAAGTGCCTACATATGGGTTACCTTAAGGCCACAGTATTTTGGGGGGTGCATGCCTTAGGGTCGTTTATAAGGACGAGATGTACCCTAAGAGGGTTTTGGGCTCCAATAGGGTTTTGTAGTATCATAAGGGTAAAGGGCCCTTCTTCTAACGTCGCTTGGTCCCCAAGGTCAGAGAAAGGTCCCTCTAGTTTGTTCGGTACCCTATACCCCAAACCCAAAACCCTATAGTTTTTTGTTCGCAGTTTGTTCGCTGCCCTTTGGGCAGGTGAGGGCGTTGCAGAAAGTCCTGGCCAGCAAGAAACTTCGAGAGCTGAAAAGTCGCTAGGTTCGTAGGGCTTAGGAGTTTAGAGTTCCAGGGATTTAGGGTTTGTTGGGGGGTTTTAGGGTTTATGGGGTTAAGACTAGATCGGATTTAGGGTTTAGGGGTTTAGGATGTCTTTTTTGCTTTTGGGGTTCGTATTACAGTATGACCGACCCTAATTTTAAACATCCCTAAACTCTGAAGCCGCTAAAGCCTAACCCAGCTAAGTGTATACTGCTACTGTGGATGGACAATATCCTGCATGACCCAATATAGGGAACATACCATAATTCGCATAGTTGAGGGTCCTTAAGGTCATGCAGGAATTTGTCCATCAGCAGTACTAATAACTGAACATCCAAGGTTCAGGCTCCAGTGAGCTGCAGACCATCAGCAGCCAGGTCAATCAGTAGTACACGTTTAACTTCCCCAGTAGTGCCTTTTTTCACAAGCTCCTTGTCTGAGGGTCGTGTATGCATCTAGTAGGGGTTCCGTAAGGTTTCTTTGGTGTGAGAGGGTTTGAGTTTGAAAGGGTTTAAGGTCGTAGGTAGGTCCCCTGGTATGAATATTTCAATCCCGCCCTTTGATTGGAAGGAGTCCCGTATGTATGCACACTAGGAACTAGGGTGGGGTTGAGGGCTCAAGGGGTTTAGGGTTAAGGGTTTAGGGTTCAGGGTTTAGGGGATCTGGGGGGCCAAGGCAAAATTGCAGAAGTCGTCTCTCGCACGAAGTCGGCAAAGCGGGTCTCGGAGACGTTGCAGGGAGTGCAGAAAGAGCTGCAGTCTATCCAGGACACGGGCATCGCCCCACTGCTCCGAAAGCTGGTCGCTGGGCACAGGCAGTTGGCATGTTTCTACTTCTTCCTTGTTGGGCTGAAGAGGATATTTTATGACCTTCGGTGACCAAAGGAACCTCAGAACAAGGCTTTTTTGCCCTTCATCAGTCTACAAAACCTTACCCGTAGGCTCTAAGGACTCATATTTTAAGGCTTTTGCGCCCAAAGACCATACTATATAAGGCATAAGGCTTTTGGGCTATTTTGAGCCTCACGGTTATTGTGGCTGTTGACCCTTAACCCTTGTAGGGCTTCAAGAGCCGAGGCAGACTAGATCCTAAAACCCTTCTAGTAGCCCTTATAGAAGCCTTAAGCCCTAAAGTACCCTTTCAGGAACCTATACTAAGCCCTCATTATACCCTTTATAGGTATCCTTATAGATTTCTAGACCCCTTTTAAGGATCCCTTTAAAGGAGCGAATGCTAAACCCTAACAAGACCCTTTAGAGTTATCCTTATAGACTGCTCGACTCCTTGAAGGATACCTTTAAAGGAATACTAAACCCTCATAATACCCTTTATATGGTTATCCTTATAGGAACCCTTTGAGGATCCCTTTAAAGGAACCCCCGGCCCCTGCATAAGCATCCTTATAGACTTATATAGACCCCTTTAAGGATCCCTTTAAAGGAACCCAAGGCCCCTTTCTTTCAGCGAAGGAATACTAAACCCTCATACTACCCTTTATATGGTTATCCTTATAGGACCCCTTTACGGATCCGTTTTCATAATACCCTTTTAATACTCGGAGGGTCGGGGGACTTAGTAAGTAGGTAGTAAGTAGGCTTATAAGTACCCTAAAAGGGACCCTAATTGGGGTTATGGTACTTATAAGTCCCTAAAATAACCAGTTACTAAGTCCCCCGACCCTCCAAGTAGTCATCGTTATAGGACCCTTTAAGGATCCCTTTAAAGAAACCCCCGAGCCGAGGCCGACTCGCAGCTATCGGCACGGACGGGCTACTAAGCTTTGATATCGGAGGAGCTAAGGAGCCAAGGATGATGATAATCTCTATTGAATGAGGAGCTAAAGAGCCTTTAAGGGTTTAGGGGTTTAGGGTTTAGTGGTTTAGGGGTTTAGGGGTTTAGGGTTTACGGGTTTAGGGGTTTATTGGTTTAGGGTTTAGGGGTTTAGGTTTAGGGTACTAGAGTCTGCCCTAAGGCTCCTAAGAGGGTCTTGGGCTTTCTGGGGGAGGGTTTCGGCTTTGGGGGCTAGGGTTCGGGGTCTCACTACCAGAGTCCAGGAGCCTTAGGGGAGGAGCTAAAGAGCCCAGGGAACCCCAAAACCACTGGTTAGGCTACTCCTCCGGACAGCTCCTTCGCATCTTCCGCGTCACGGCCATCCAGATGGCCCGGGATGCAAGGGAATCTAGGCATTAGGGTCTGTAGGGCTTTAGGGTTTAGGGCTTTGGGGTTTAGGGTTTGTGATTTAGGGTTTTAGGGTTTATAAAGGGGGCGGTTTGGGAAGCTTTTCAATTTCCCTGTTACGGTTTCTATAGAGGTACCTTTTCATAAATACGTTTAAGGCCCCTAAACGACAACCCAGGAATTGAACAAGTTGCAGGCGTACTTGGCGAAGTTGCAGGAAACCGTCAACGAAAATAATTGGGATGATGTCTCTGCAAACTTCGCCTGCTTCTACGCACTGAATGCCCACTTGCAGGGCGAACGTTCGCAGCAGATCTTTCAATTGATTCTCATTGACCACGGAATTAGTAAGTGCTGAGTTTTTTGGGATACTATAGCACACCTCAAAGCATGGGTAGCTTATAAACCCTAAACTAAACCCTAAACTTAGTACATCGGCCACTGAGGATTTGGCAAGATGAAGCCTTCAGGAGGGGCTGCGAGCTTGCTGACCTTTTCGTCGGTGTGGCGCCTTTGAACCATCCTCCTCATCTTGTCGTTCATACCGTCAAGAAGGCTGTGAACTACATCAAGGTTTCTTCGTCAATGTTAGGGATGCGTATTGTTTGTTTTGTTTTTGTTTTAAGGGGGGGGGGTAGGTTTCAGGATATTGCGCAAGAGGGAGTCCTCACGCTTCCTTTTCTTTCCACCCTTAGACTGGATGATATCGGAGTCTCCGAAAATTAGGTGTACCTATGTTGGCGTCCTTATAATAAGGGTCCTACTATTTAGGGTACTCGAATAGAGTCCCCTATTTTCGGAAACTCGCATATACCACCCACAAAAACCTATTAAAGCTTTTCAGGACCGTACAGTTTGGTCTCCTAAACCTGTGTCTCCTTACAAGCTAGGATGCCCAGTAGTACCCTTATTCCCTTTTTGTAGTCCCAGGTTCCTTATAAAGTTACCCAACACAAAAAGGAAGCCCTTTTTATTCCTAGCTTACTGGGCATCCCTATAAGGGTCCACGTACCCAAATCGTATATACTTTGGCTCCAAGGTACTTGAAAGCCAAGTTACATGCTAGTTGGGCACATGGACCCGATCGGGCTCTCTAGTGGAACCCTGAACCCAACCCTAAACCTTCAACCCGAAACCCTCAACTCTACTAATGGGTCCTCTGAAGGTTCAGGGTTTAGGGCTCTGGGGATCTTGGCCCTGTGAAGGGTTTCAAAGGGACTCTTAAACTCTACTTATAGTATCCTTAAGGGAGGGGGGTCCAAGGGGGTATATAGCCTAGTGATCCCTAATTCTCCCTAGTACTCCCTAAGGTTCCCTTACAGTCCCTTAAGGATTCCTTATACCCTCCCCCCTTGAACCACCCTCCCTTAAGGATCCTATAATCTACCCCAAATCTTCAGGATCATGCGGAGACGTGGGAGAAGGCCATCGCCAAAGAGCTAGCAGCGATTGAGCTCACCCGAACCTAAGCCGTTCTTGAACTACCGGTTCCTTTAGGTGTTCCTGTATACGGGGTTCCTTGAGGACTTTGAGGGTTCCTTGAAGGGATCCATAATCTGTAATCTGTCAGCTTTTTCCATGGAAGATCATGGTGTTAAGCTTGTTTAGTATGCTTCGGGGGTTCCAGGGTTCAGGGTTTAAGCAAAGTCTATTCTGAAGAAGGAACGCAAATCACGATGTGTCACGGGCCTTCAAGAAGAGCCCAGGTACCCGGCAGTCGCAATTCTTCTCCCTCTTGGTGTCTGCGATTTCCGGGCTTTTCATGTACATAGCTACCTTTCTGTCCAGTGTCACCTTTCAGGCTTTCCAGGAGGGTAGATTGAGGATACCCTACCTTTCAGATTAATTGGCCTCTTCCCAGCTGCCCTGTTTTAAGCTGGCTGGTTTAGGGTCAGTGCCGGGCGGCTGGGATGGGTATTTGCAGCCCTTTGTCCGGTTTTCTGCTACAAAGTCGAGAGCTGTGTGCACAGGCCTCCAAGCGCGTCCTTGCAATACCCTTCACCCTAAAGCCCTGTAAACCTTGAGAAAAGCCCTCCGCACCTCTCTCAAATTCTTCCCTTCTTAAGGGTTCATGGTTTAGGGTGTAGGGTGTAAGGTATAAAGAATAGTGGGAGGAGTACTAAACGGGGAAGGTGTGCTTGAGCGGAGCAGTACAACGGCAACTGTGCTGGGCTCTTCTTAAGTAGTTTAAGTTAAGGTGCCATAATTGGGATGTATAGTAAATAACTGTAAATAATATCTGGTTTCCTTCTCATGGTAACTGAAATTAATACCCTTCCCAAAGGGTCCAAGTATCATTCTGGTATATACTTATAGGGCATTTTGGGGGTCTAAGTATATACCATGATGATACTTGGACCCTTTGGGCTTAACAAGAACCCAGTATAAGAGCAGATATAAGGGTCATAAAATCAGCTCCGCGAGGGTTCTGCTGCAGTTGCAAAACCGAGGCCTTCCAGATTCTGGGACTTTGGGCATAATAAGAACCACATGAAGAACAATACATAGTTATAGTCATAGTAATCATCATAATTAGAATCACAAGAAGAACAATATATAGTTATAGTCATAGTAATCATCATAGTCATAGTAGTAATAACCACGATACTAGTGTATATTGCCCCCTTCCTTTCAGCTTCAAAGAAGCCCCAGAGTCCCCCTAAGCTTCCCCAGCCCTGTTGAAAGCCGACAACCCCAGACCTTCCAGAAGCCTTTAATTAAGGCATATACCTCAAATCATATTCAGGATCCTACTATGCTCTACGGTATAGTCCTTCATGAATGGATTTTGGAAAGCCGAGAACCCGTCCAAACGCTAGAATCCTGTGACCCTTTCCCCTCCGAAAGGGACCCGGGCACCGCCGGCCAACGCTAAACCCCGACCCCGCAACCCCAAACTCCCTTCAAAGTGATCTGCAAGGGTTGAATTTAAGGGTTCCTAGAAGGGATCTACAGGCTTTATAGGGTTTAGGACTCCAATAACCAAAATCCTAAACAGGAGCTCAACATGATCTAGGCTAAACCCTGAACCCTATACCCTAAACCCTAAAACTCTATACCCTAAACCCCATACCCCAAACCCTGGACCCTAAAACCCTATACCCTCAAGGAGCTCAGGATGATCTGCTCAAAAGACTACAGCGTCGCAACGGCCTCGGGCCTGGCGTTTGCTCGCTAAGGTCGAGTGGCCGAAGGCCACTCGGCCTTGGCGAGCAGACGCTCTTGGCCTCTTGGCCTGGCGACGAGCTCTTCTGAAGCTTTAGGGGTTTTAGGGTGTTTTTTAATATTTGGGTTTCGCTGTTTTTTAGGGGTTTAGGGTTTAGGGCTCTAGGGGTTTGGGGCTGTAGGGTTTCGGGTTAAGGGGTTTAGGGGTTTCGGGTAGGCTGCGCAGCAGTATGACAGGAAGGCCAAAAAGAGTCAACGGCGGAGACTTGTGTAAATTGTATTAAATGTGCTAAGCCCTAAAGCTTTTGAATTAAATAAATGTCAGTGCCCTTCCTCCAATATTTTGCCAGCTTTCTCTGTTTGCTTCTTGCAAGGGGGGGGGCTTGTTTGGTGTCACAAGCTTTAGGGCGTCGTTGTTGCATTGAGCGTTTCCCTGCTTCATGTGCCCAAATGGTACATAGTTTGGACTTTGGCCTTAAAGTAGTCCCATACATGGACACTTTGGGGCCTATGTATGTTACACTATTTGGGTACATGGACCCTTATACCCTAAACCCTATAAAACCCTTATGGAACCCTTCAAATAAGGAACCCGTTAAAGGAACTCTATTTGGGTACATGGACCCTTAGCCCAAAGGCTCCATGTACCCTTATAGTAGATACTTGAGCCCCAAAGTAGTCCCTATATAGGTACTTTAAGGCCTAAGTATCTACTATAAGGGTACATGGAGCCTTAGGGTAGGGTTTGGGGTTGCGGGTTGATGTTCTGAGGTCAGGGGGGGTTTAGGACGTCGGGCTCGGTGCCCTAGGAAGCCCGGGAAACAAAAAGACAAGCTTTAACATAAACCCTAGAATCCCAAATCGTCTAAAGTACCTCTATAGTAGAATTTAGGGTTCTATCGTAAGAATTCATAGAAGTACCTCTATAGTAGAATTTAGGGTTCTATCGTAGGAATTCATATTATGATTGGGGAAGACATCCCCGTGGGTTCAGGGCTTATGGAGACCCATTTCATCCCTCCAGCCCTGAGAAACCCTACTAGTAGAAAGAGTTTAGGGTTTTGGGGTTCAGGGTTTAGGGTTACGGTTAAGGGTTTAGGGTATAGGGTTTAGGGTTTAACGCAAGCCCGCACAGAGCACCCTTCAATAGATGCGGGTGTTGGTGTTAGGGCCTTTTAGGGTTTATGGAGGCCTCCTCAATCGCTCCAAAACCCCCGAAGCCTATACTCTAAACGCTAAACCCTACCCTAAACGTCAACAACCTTAAACCTTGCTCATCATGAGGCAGTACTACACTAATTGAGCTCCTAACAAGCCCCCCTAGCCGACGGGGCGGGGTCCTTTAGCCCGTTTCAGGAGTTCGAGTTTCTCTACAAAGTGCAGATACCCTTGATGGACAAAGTTCTGTGTTACCTTACAGCTCTGAGAACTTCGGAACATCCTTCAGAGTTCGTCCATCACCAGTGTGTTTGTCTTCCTCTTCTTCGCCCCTACACTGGTCGTTTTGGCGTTCGGAAAGCTTTTAGAGATGTTCTTGACAGTATGTTCTCGTCTTCAAGGTGCTGCCGAGCTGCTCATCCCCCCTTTGAAACCGTGGATGGACAAAATCCTGCATTGCCTTCAGTATTTCAAGCTCAGGCAGTCGTGGTTAGAAGTGACCCACTTGGTAGGGTTTAGATTTTGGGGTTCAGGGTTTTGGGGTTAGGGTTACCCGATATGGGAGTTTCCGAGAATTTGGGGTACCTCATTTTGGGGTCCTTATAAACAGGATCCTATTATTTAAGGTAATATATTTGGGGCCCCTATTTTCGGAAACTTGGGTTTTACCTTAACCCGGAACAACCTACCCTTTAAGGACTTATATAAGGAAATCATAATAAGGAACCTTAAAAATATCAGGTTATTCAGGGTTAAAGTAGGGTCTTGGGGTTACGGTTACCTGATTTTGGGCTTTCTAGGTGCCTCTTGCTCGCCGATCGCTTGGGAGCCATGGTGCGACGGGAGGATGAGGTCGCGCTCGCGCAGGTCATCAGGACCTGCGGGAAGGCCAGAGAATGGCAGGCAGCCTTGTCCTTTTTCATGGTTCCCCCAAAAGAATAACAGACCGGCTAGTAGAACTATGGGCTATTAGACCCTAAAGATCCCTATTAGGACCCTATTAAGGGTAGATTAAGGTACCCATAAGGTCTAACAGCCCATAGTGGTAGACCTTCTTAAATAATTCCTACTGAGGCATATAGGTATAGGGCTCTGTCTATTGATGGCAGGCCGCGGCCGAAAATGGTGTACCCACAAAGCCCTCAGATAAGGAATACACCTAGTTAACTGCCCCTACAATTTGTATAAGGTATGTGGGTGGTTGTCAAAATTAGGGTCCCTTTTTGGGTACCTTAAATATTAGGTGCCGTATTATATGAAGGACCCAAAAGGACCCGAATTTTGAGAACTACCCATGTTCATTTCCTAAATAAGGAGTATACTGTGCCTTCTGTGCAGGCGTGGGTGGGAGGTTTCCTGCATGGTTGCTTTAGGGGTTCAGCTAACACGGATGTAGGGGTTTTCTGTTTCTGTTTGGGAGGGTTTTCGGGTCGGTGGTTTTGGGTTGAGGTTTTAGGGGCATAAGTTGCGGCATAAGGTTTATTTGAGACGATTCAGTTATGGCCACCGTTTAGACCCGGATTCAGGTTACTTGTACATCTTGCGACCTTCCGGCAGGCATGTGTTGAGGCTGTCGCCACGATGCTGATGTTGCGGCTAGTTCCGAGCATCTATAGCTTTACAGCAGCTATTACAGCAAGTCTGGGTGCATGGATGGCGGCTGCCCAGATCTTTTCCGAGATGTTATCACACGACATCTTACCTGATACTGTCAGCTGCAATGCTCTCATGAATGTAGCTGAAAGAAGGAGGCAGTGGCAGACTGTGCTGCAGCTGCTGGCCTACATGGCGGCAGAAGCAGCCAAACCAAATGAGATCAGTTTCACTTCCGCCATCAGTGCAAGTGACAGAAGTGGACATTGGCAATTGGCGATGGGGCTGCTGTCTGGCATGCCTCGACATCGAGTGTATCTCAGTGAGATGAGCGGTACTGCAGCCATGAGCGCGGGCGAACGGGCCCAGCGGTGGGAAGCAGTGATTGAGGTGCTTTCTAACATTCAGGGAGCTGATGAGATCAGTTTCTCGACTGCACTTAACATGGAGCCAGTTTTGTCCTGTTTGCAGACGGCTGATGTCGAATGAACTCGTAAAGGGTGCTCCTGTGTTGCAAGGCTTCAATGTTGGCATTGCTGCATGCCGAGAGAGTCTGCAATGGACAGCAGCACTTCAGCTACTCTGCGGTATGCCAAAGGCAGGCGTGACAGCGGATTTGGTTACGTTCAATGCCCTTGTGAACCTGTGTGGTGAAGGCGCTTCGTCAACCTTCCAGAAAGCACTAGGGTCCACCTGCCAAATAGTATTACTTTGGCCCCAAAGTATTCAAATAATTAGGCAATAGGGACTGCTTTAAGGCCTAAGCATATACTATACATCAGGAGGACGAAAGTTTTGACTTACTGGGCCTTTCTTGTCTTAAGGCATCTTGCGGAGTAGCGGAGTGCCGCGAAGTGCAAATTACGTGGCCTGGCCAGCGGAGTATTTTATACCCCGTTTTAAAATTGTGCTACTTTAATGTTCCGGAGGAGTAACCGGTGGGTCCTGTGCGCTAGGAGTCTACGGGGGAATGGGGGCTTGTCGTGGACGAAAGAAGGAATAGGTCAAACTTTCGTCCTACTGCAGCGTCATTTTGGGTGCCAGAATCCAGAGCAATGCTCAAGAGGCCTTTGCCGCTCTTAACGTCGTGATTTTTGCACACGGCTGGACTGCAAGCCCCGAATTGCCCGCTGATTCTGGAATCATGTCTGATCCTCGCAACTAACCCAAGACATGTAGCTTCAAGGTCACGGTGACGCAGTGTCATTTGCCGATAAAAAGGTCGCGGCGACGCATCAGGAGGACGAAACTTTTGACTTACTGGGCCTTTCTTGTCTTAAGGCATCTTGCGGAGTAGCGGAGTGCCGCGAAGTGCAAATTACGTGGCCTGGCCAGCGGAGTATTTTATACCCCGTTTTAAAATTGTGCTACTTTAATGTTCCGGAGGAGTAACCGGTGGGTCCTGTGCGCTAGGAGTCTACGGGGGAATGGGGGCTTGTCGTGGACGAAAGAAGGAATAGGTCAAACTTTCGTCCTACTGCAGCGTCATTTTGGGTGCCAGAATCCAGAGCAATGCTCAAGAGGCCTTTGCCGCTCTTAACGTCGTGATTTTTGCACACGGCTGGACTGCAAGCCCCGAATTGCCCGCTGATTCTGGAATCATGTCTGATCCTCGCAACTAACCCAAGACATGTAGCTTCAAGGTCACGGTGACGCAGTGTCATTTGCCGATAAAAAGGTCGCGGCGACGCATCAGGAGGACGAAACTTTTGACTTACTGGGCCTTTCTTGTCTTAAGGCATCTTGCGGAGTAGCGGAGTGCCGCGAAGTGCAAATTACGTGGCCTGGCCAGCGGAGTATTTTATACCCCGTTTTAAAATTGTGCTACTTTAATGTTCCGGAGGAGTAACCGGTGGGTCCTGTGCGCTAGGAGTCTACGGGGGAATGGGGGCTTGTCGTGGACGAAAGAAGGAATAGGTCAAACTTTCGTCCTACCGCAGTATGGGTGCATGGACCCCCCGGAAAAGCTTAAATATTGCTACTTAGATGCTTTGCCTTACCTAGCGTTACTTAGAAGTAATTTGTAATTTTTGGGCATTATAATCCCTAAGAACAGCTAGAATGAACATTTTTGCGAGGGTTCTAAGTTCAATATAGTTTACTTAAAGGGATCTATAGGGGCTCCTTAAAGGGATCTATAGGGTTTAGGGGTTCCTTATAGTTACGACAGCGCTGGGTCCCCGCAAGGCCTACTCTGGCACCTGGCGCTTCGACTCGTCTCGCAGATCTCCGAGGCAAAGTGGCTGTGTTGTCCCAAAATCCTCGTTTTTTGGGGTTTGAGGGTTTAGGTTAGAAGGGGCCCCCACCCTGTAATAGTGGTATAATTGGAATATAATAGGGCCCTAATATAATCCTTCTAGTCACTATTGCAGGGTTGGGGCAGCTTCTCAGGTTTAGCGTTACCTTTGGGGTTTAGAGGGTAAGTTTTCTGTGTTCAATCCGGAACTGAGAGACGAGAGAAAACACAAAAATCAGGCAAACAGCACAAGTTTGCATCGGGTTTGTTGATCCGTTTAGGGTTTAGGGTTTAGGGTTTGGATGGTTCATGCGAGTTTGGCCTGTTTTCAGTAGCCAGCGAGGGTGTCGTGTGGCCTACGAAGGGTTTAGGGCTTGGGGCATCAGGCATCAGGACTAGTTACTGCGTCCATCATGTGTGGTAGGAGCTTACCCGACCCGATGTCGTTACTGCTGTATCTCCAAACCCCAGATCCCTAAATTCAATACTAGTCTCCTTATAGTAAGCCCAGCTGGAGCCAAGTTTGCCTTCAACTGAAGCCCTGAAAGGCAGGGCTTATTTAAACCCTGAAGGAACCCTTTAAAGGAACTCCCTGAAGGTGCCCTTACCCTAAATCCTAAACCTTATAGAACCCTAAAAGGCAGGGCATAATCTAAACCCTAAACCCCTAAGGGATCCCTTGAAGGGAGCTCCCTTAAGGTACCATTTCCCTGAACCCTATAAACCTTATAGAACCCTAGAACTCGCTTGAAGTGCCCATATAGAACCCTGCCCTTTAAAGGAACCCTCTAAACCCTTTCAAGGATATTCTTAAAGGAACCCTTATAGAACCCTAAAAGGCAGGGCTGGAGCGGGACATCATCGGCCGCAACGCCGCCCTCAGCGCGCAGGGGCTGGCAAGCGAGTGGCCTCGTGCTCTTGAGTTCCCCGGGTCGAAAGGGAACGGTTGATGATAGAAATCCTGCATTACCCATAATAAGGAATATACCATAATCCCTAAAGTAATGCAGGATTTATATCATCAACAGGAATTAGGGCTTAGGAGTTTATCGTTTAAGGTTTAGGAGTTTATCGTTCAAGATTTAGCAGTTTATCGTTTAAGGTTCAGGAGTTCATCGTTCAAGGTTTAGGAGTTTATCGTTTAGCAGTTTATCGTTTTAGGGAGTTTATCGTTTAGGGTTTACCGGTTTAGGGTTTCGGGTTTGGGGGTTTAGGATTCAATTAGGAGTTAGGGGTTTGGTTCTATTGTTATGACAACAGTTGAAAATGTCTTTAATGAGTGTTACCAGCAAAAAACACGTAGTGCTATTTTCCTGCTTAGCAGTTTGTTAGCTATTGCTTAGTAGTTTTTGCTTCTCGGGCTAGTTCATGTGTTGTTGTTGTTGTTGTTGTTGTTCTTTGTGGCCTCGCTTTTCGTGCTCAGGGTTCAAAGTTTACTTGGTGCTTGGTGTTCGTGTGTGCTTGCTGCGTTGGTTCTTCATGTCGTAGGCTTGACCCAGAGGGTCCAAGTACTCCCTATTATAGGACTTTGGGGCCTTTTTAGGTATCAAAAACCATAAATAAGGACCACTTGGACCCTTAGGGTTGAAGGTTAAGGCCACTTCTGGCAGATATTGGGCAGTTCCTCGTCCGGGAGGAAGGAGCAGGTGAAATACCCGAACCCTAGACGCAAACCCCTTTAGAGTAAAAGCCAGAAAGTTGGAATATGATTATCCTAAACCCTTTATGGTAAATTTTCAAGGTATCCTACCCTGAAACCATATTCCAACTTTCTGGAGTTCCCTTTAAGCCTTTTACCTAAAGGGCTCGAATCCGAGGTTGTTTGGGCAGATTGCTTCTTCGAAACTGGTACCAGATCAGGTCAGCTGTAGCTCCGTCATCGTCGCTTGTGGCGTGGTCCTAAACCCTAAACCCTGAACCTTCAAAAATAAACATAAGATGTTGTTTTTGCTGTCAGCTTCCTGGCGCTGGCAGGGCACAATACTACAGGGGCCTAAGACAATACTATTTTGGGGGTTCCTTGTTATAAGCACAGTATAAAGGGCCCAAAACCCTATTCTTATCATTAAGGCCCCTATAATCCAGTTGAGGTGGGAAGGGTCTGCAGTGGCAGACAGCGCTGCACTTTCTTCTGGAGGTCTTGCCGGCCATGTCCCTGCAACGGAATGAGGTTAGCTTCAATGCTGCGATCAGTGCTTGTGAGCCGTTGGGATGCTGGGAGCATGCAGTTTATCTACTCGCACAGATGCCCATTCTACGGTGTTTCCCCGACAGCATCGGTGCCAATGCCGTCATTAGCGCCTGTGGCAAAGGCCAAAAGGGTCCTAGGTACTGTGATCTGGGATACTTCCCCAAATCGTAACAGGAATGCCTAATGTAGGAACCTTACATTCTACCCTATAGGTACTTCTAGGAACCCTTGAAGGAACCCTAAACCCTTGAAGAAACCCTTAAAGGAACCTAAAAAGGTATTTGGACCCTTTGCAAGGCGACCAGTGGCAGCTCGCTCTCCACCTCTTCCATTCGCTGCCTCTCGGGCTCATTGTTGCAGAATCCTAACAACTTACCTTTGGTTAGTTGGAAGAATGGCCGTAATAGTACCCATAATTCTACCCCATTCCTCCATTCCCTACTCACCAAAGGTAAGAGAATCCTAATGAGCCCCTGAAACCCAATAGCCGAAAACCGAATCCCCAAAACCTGCACAGTTGGGTTGCTTCTGCAGATTAAACCATAGAATCCCTAAACCTACTAAACCATCTATATAAGCCCTAAGCCCTGCGCCACGTAAACGTTAAACCATATCAACCCTAAACCCCTAAACCCTAAATCATATAAACCCTAGAATGGTGTGTTGTGGGGTTCCCTTGCTTTTTTGATCCTCTCCAAGGCCGGACCTTGAAACTTTAGGTCTCTAGGTCCTCGGAGTCCCCACAACTTGGCTCTAAGGGGGTATATGTTGCATATGTATACATATGTATACATATATACATACATATATATATATATATATATATATGTAGGCAGAAATGAAAGCACCTTCTTATTTATCTACTTGCCCAAGTAACTCTATCTATCTACCTATCTACCTGCCTATCTACCTGCCTATCTTCCTATCTACTTATTTCTCTATCTGGAGAAATATTATTAACATGCAAGTTTAAATGTTGTTTTATTCTCCGTCCTTGAGTGTTTGGGGTTTAGCGGTTTAGGGCGTATAGGCTTTTGGTTTGTTTTGTTTTTTTACTTCAGGCCTTCCACAGATGTCCGCCCCGACGCGATCAGCTTCAATGCTGCCATCAGTGCATGCGAGAAGGTTTCAGACACTAAAACAAGAGAGGGAACGGAAGCATCATGAATCATAACCGTTAACCCTAAAGGGGGCTTTAATAATCACTCTAGTTTTTTTTAAGGGGGGTCTATAATGGCTACTATCGGGGCTATTATGAGGATTAGTTTCTTAGGAGTAGCTTTAAGGGTCTAAAGGAGCCAATATTTAGGTACAGGGGTTTAGGATAGTAGTTACTTACATTGCTCTTTTGGAGAGTATATGACAATAAGGTACTTGGACCCTCAGGATATGAGTCATAACAGAGTTTGGAAGTGTTCATTTTTGAATAGGCATGCAGGGGCTATAGGGGGCTGGTGGTTTCCTATTGTATCGGTTTGCTCAAGCAAGAGAGTACTGGGAAATCGCAAGCTTAGCATAAGGGTTTAAGTACGTTGAATACTTTAATAGTCATATACTCCCCGAATGCTATCATCAACCCCAAGTGCGTATTTGCTGTGGCATTTAAACCAAAAAAGCCATACCTTTGTAGGGCACAACCGTTGCAAAACCCCATGCAGACCCCTCTGAAACGCTTTAAAGCAACCCTGCATAACGCCCTTTAGGGTCACCGCTCACGGCACCTGCAAGAAATCCCTTGGCACCTTAGAGGAGCCCCTATCGAAGCCGTTTACGCTCTCCTTTGGGGAGCCCCTACCGGGACCCCCGGATGCCCCTTTCAAGGAGCCCTTATGGTTAGTTAGTGCCCATTAGCCTAAACCGACAACCCTTAAAGGAAGCGGGTTTAGGGTTTAGAGATACCCCCAGGTGGGAACCCTTAACGGAAGCCACTTTGCGGATACCCCCAGGTGGGAAAGTGGATTTGGGCTCTTTGGCTGCTCGCGGCGATGCCAGAATCTCGAATCAGCCCGGACTTGATCAGCTTCAGATCCTTGGGCAAAATGATTTTCCCCAAAGGGTCCAAGTATTGTTATGGTATATACTTAGACCCCCAAACCAAAATACCCTATAAGTATATACACCATAATAATACTTGGACCCTTTGGGTTCGGACACATGTTTAGCCGCTAAAGCCTTCTGAATGATTTCCGAGTCCTGCGTTTCTATGCATATGTGGCAGTTTTTTGCCCTGTTGAAGAAGCTAAAAGTTGAGTGCTTTCTTGGGCTACGATCTGAGCAACGAAGGTTCTACCATCAGTGCCGAGGCTTCTGCAAGTGAGCCACCGTTTGCAAGCTTTCTGTCGGTATAAGATCCGTTTTGTAGAACCCCCTTCCCCCAAAAAAAACACCTCGTGTAGAGAGCCCTAAAAGGTTTCACAGCCCCTGAAGCATGTTTCAAGACTATTGTCGAAATCCAAATTATTGCAAATACGAATTTGGGGGTTCCTTATTATTAGTATATAATGGGCCGCAAAGCCCTATTCCAATTATTTAGGTTCCCACATTATTGTAGAAATCGTTATGTGGCCAAGGTGCCTGCGAGAAAGGCCTTCAGTGGCAAGTAGCCGTGCAGCTTCTCCTTTCCGACATGGGGGTGGCGATGGTCCAACAGAACGAGATACTCTGCAGTCCAAAGCATTCTGGGAGCCCACTTACCCTTCATACCAGAGTCATACAGGGGTTATGCATCTGGCTTCGAGGGATAACTAGCTTCAGTTTTGTTGCGGTACCGGAATTAATATGTCGGAAGGCGACGAAGATAGCCATTAACCTGGAACTGGTTGAAGTGCGGCATCAGCCCACTGAAATTCTGTTCAACCCATAGGGTCGTCCGGTAATGTTTAGGATTTAGGGGTTTGGGGTTTACGGTCGGGACTAAGGATCAGCTTCAATGCGGCCATCAGTGCATGCGAAAAGTCTGGTGCCTCGGGAGCCATGTGACCATAAAGCTGGTTCTTTGAACCTTAATCCGTATTCAACACCTCCAGACACCCCAAAGGGCTTTGTACAGCACCCCTCTACGGTCGATTTCGTCCTTCAGGTGAGTGGGAGGTGGCTTTGTCACTCCCACAAAGGATGGCTTTGTCTTCCTTAGTGCCAGACAGGGCGACTCGGTCCCCAAGTGGTCTCAGTCTTTTCCAAGTTCTGATACGGAAACCCTAAGCCTTCCTAAACACCATAAACTTCCAGAACACCCTATAAACCCCTGGAGCCGTTAAACCAGTAAGCCCTAAACCTATGTTAGGTGTATAAAGCTTGTGTAACGAGTTTTATATAGGTTCCTCGGTAGCAGTTTACTCTTTTGTTCTGAGGCGTTCTTATGAAGACGACGATAGGTTAGAAGCTGCCCCCACCCTGTAATAGTGATTATAAGGATTATATTAGGGCCATATTATATTCCTATTATACCACTATTACAGGGTGGGGGCCCCTTCTAAACGATAGGACAAACCCTAAACCCTAAACCCACCCCAGGTGACCTTCAGCTCTTTGGTCGTTGCTTGTGGGAGGGGCCTTCAGTGGCAGAGGGCACTCTGCACCTGATCTGTGGTTAAGGCGAGTTTAAGTTTAGTTGCTATAACAGGGATCTAAAGCAAGTGATATGGTTCCTTCTGAGGCTAACTTAAGCAAAGTTATTTGAACAAGACCCCAGGCACTTTCTGGGAGATGCTTGGCACACAGGTTGCTCCGAACGAAATCAGTTTCAGCTCTGCGATCAGTGCTTGTGAGGCATCCACGCAGTGGCAGCCGGCATTAGAGCTGCTTGCCGCGATGCCTGAATTCAAAGTTACACCAAACCATGTCTGCTTCAATGCTGTCATCACTGCCTTCGAGAAATTTGGACTATGGCAGAAAACCTTCCAAGTTTTAGTTCAAATGGAGAGTACCATTGCTGCCATCTGGAGAGCTGTTGAAAACCCTGGCTTCTGCCACTTCAGTATGGTGGTTCAACTTACCCAGAGGGTCCAAGTATCATTATGGCATGCTCTTATAGGGTATTTTTGGGGGGTCTAAGTATATACCATAGTAATACTTGGACCCTTTGGGTAGTATGGTGGTTCAACTTGGGGGGTTGTCAATATTAGGGTCCTTTTTTGTATCCTTATTATAATACGGCACGGCACCTAATATTTAGGGTACCCAAAAAGGGACCCTAATTCTGACAACCACCCATTTAGGTAGCTTTATGGTATATACTTATAGGGCATTTTGGGGGTCTAAGTATATATACCATGATCATACTTGGACCCTTAAACCCTAAACCCTAAACCCTAAACCCTATACCCCATGATCATACTTGGACCCTTTAAGCCGAATGGTTACATGTCGTCCTTAAGGGTCATCGTGTCTCGAACTTGCTCGGCCTCTGGCTCGAGCACCCTCGTAGGCAATGGCACCCAAACTTCGTTTGTTTCAGGGTTTAGGGTTTAGGGTTTTGGGTTAAGGGTTTAGGGTTTAGGGTCATATTTTGAGGTCTTGATATATGTGCGCGGAAGGTAAGTTTTCGGGCTTAAGTTTCCCAGACGGCCAGCGCAATGTCCCACAAACATGGGCAAGATCATTAAGCAAACAGCAAGATAAAAAAGATGCTAGCTACATTGCGTCATACTGTGAATACTATTGAATCGCTTGGTGTCAGGCTTTCTTCTTTCTTAATTCGTGGCTTGCAGATCGCATGGGAGCCATGACGCGACGGGAGGATGAGCTGATGCTCGCAGGGATCATCAGGACGCGCGGGAAGGCCAGAGAGTGGCAGGCCGCAGCCGCTCTTCGTAGCTATGCTTTCTGTTTATTTTTGTGGTTCGAAGCTCGGCTGAGCTCAGCTCCTCCACATGTTAGTTAAGGAAGACTAGATAACTCACTGAAAAATCCTTCCATTAATGTCTCTCGGGTGAAGATCCGGGTCGTGTAATGGCGATTCAGTGGGGGGGCGGGGGGGAGGCGGGGTTTAGGGTTTAGGGTTGAGGGTTCATGGGGATCGTGCGTTCATGGATTTTGGCGTATTGACAAGCGGGCGTCAGCTTTTCAGATTTGCCCCCTAGTGCAATGTGGGCTCTTCTGAGCAAGAAGCCTAAACCCCTAAACCCCTAAACCCTGAACCCTAAACCCCCAAGTCCACACGAACCTCCGGAATCGATGTCGTCCTCCGTTCTCTTTCTCAGTGGGTGAGAATCTGGGAATTATTATAGGCGTCTTAAGAACTACCTATACTATTGTGGCGTTCCTGTTTAATTATATCGTTATGACTGTAGCACAATAACATACCCCAAAACCCTATTCTAATTATTACGGCCTATATATTTGAGCAAGGCCAAGCATAAGACTTGATTCAGCTCGCTTGTACGTATCCGTGAACATCACTGAGACCTGCTGGCAGGCATGTGTTGAAGCTGTGGCCACGATGCTGATGTTGCGGCTAGTTCCGAGCATCTATAGTTTTACAGCAGCTATTACCGCAAGTCTGGGTGCATGGATGGTGGCTGCCCAGATCTTTTCCGAGATGTTATCACAAGACATCTTACCTGATACTGTCAGCTGCAATGCTCTCATGAATGTGGCTGAAAGAAGCAGGCAGTGGCAGACTGTGATGCAGCTGCTGGCCTACATGGCGGCAGAAGCAGTCAAACCAAATGAGATCAGTTTCACTTCCGCCATCAGTGCAAGTGACAGCAGTGGACATTGGCAATTGGCGATGGGGCTGCTGTCTGACATGCCTCGGCATCGAGTGTATCTCAGCGAGATGAGTGGTACGGCAGCCATGAGCGCGGGCGAACGGGCCCAGCGGTGGGAAGGAGTGATTGAGGTGCTTTCTAACATTCCGCGAGCTGATGAGATCAGATTCTGGACTGCCTTTAGAAAATGGAGCTGGTTTTTGTCGATGTGCAGACTGAAGTAGTAGAATAGCCCTAAGGGTCCATGTGCCCAAATATTACATACTTTGGCCTTAAAGTAGTCCGTATATTGGTACTTTGGACCCTAAGTATTAACTATTTGGGTACATGGACCCTCAGGGTAGACTCGTAACAGGTTCCGCATGTGTTGTACTTAAGGCTTCAATATTGGCATTGCTTCCTGCCGGGGGAACTTGCAATGGACAGCAGCACTTCAGCTACTCCACGGTATGCCCCAGGCAGGCGTGACAGCGGATTTGGTAACGTTCAACGCTCTTGTGAACCTGTGTGGTCAAGGCACTCCGTCGACTTTGGCAAAAGAAGAAATATACTGTGCCTAAATCATTACCTGATCTAATATACGTTCAGGCCCCGACATAAGGTACGTGGACGTTTTGCCTCACACACCATTGGGTCCCTGCAAGGCCTTCTCTGGTACAAGGCTCTTCGACTCGTCGCGCAGATTTCCGAGGCCACGTTGCGTTTGCGTCTTGTTTTGGTTTACTCTTAAGGCCCTATAGGGCTCCAGTGATCTGAATAGTAGGTTACTAACCGTAGCTGGAGCCAAAGGGGTAATGATCCGAAACTGCCAAACAGACAACAAACAATGAAAGCAACAAGCACAACGTTGCCTCGGGTTTGCTGATCCGGGCTGTGGACAGTATATACGATGCTTGAATTCATTCGCTATAGGGAAGGTGTCATGTGGCGTTGAGGACAAGGCTGGCTGAAAGTTGCCCCACAGCGTGCTGGTGCAATAATATAGGCGCCTTAATCATTACCTACACTATGTTGGTGGTTCCCGATTACAATTTTAGTAAAATGGGTCCCAAAACCCTATTCTAAATATTAAGGCCCCTACAGTGGATCTTTGCGAACATCTCTAATCTCAACTGTCAACAGCCCTAACCCCAAACTCCCTAAACGCCTTATAGTAACCTTAATGGATCCCTTTAGCCCTAAAGCTTTAACCCGACACCCCTTATAGTAACCGTTATGGACTCCTTCAAAGGAGGCCTTGACTACTGGCTACTCCAAACCCTACAGCCCTAACCCTAAACGGCTTGTAGTAGCATTCATCCATCCCTCTACAAGGAGCCCTTCACTGCACTTTAAGACCTAACACTAAACTCGTAAACCCTAAACCCTCAACCTCATTTACATTGAAGCCCAAATGCCCAACCCCAAATCCCTTCTGACCCTCATTGATCCCTATACCTGAATTTGACACCCCCAAAAGGCACCCTAAACAAAACCCTAAACTGCTCATAGTAACCCTGGTAGATACATTTACAGTTAAATTTGTTTTTTCTTGAAGCCCTAAGAAGGCGGTTCATACTCTAAACCCTAAACCCAACAGGATCCCTTTAAAGGAACCCTTAAGGTACCCTTATAGATGAGCCTTACACATCACTTTATAAGGGATACCGTTATGGGTCCCTTAAACGGAACCTTCACATCGTTTAATTTAAATTATCATGAGAGAACCCTTTAAAGCATACCTTTGTAGAGAGCCAAAGGGCAGGAACTCGCTTGAAGTACCCTTACAGAACCCTGCCCCTTAAAGGAGCCTTATAGACCCTTTAACGGATATTCTCAAAGGAACCCTTATAGAACCCTAAACCCTTTAGAGCTCAGTTTCTCGTCAATTGAAGCCCTGGAAGGCAGGGCTGGAGCTCTAAACCCTAAACCGTAAAGGATCTCTTTAAGGGAGCTCCCTGGTACCCTTACCCTAAACCCTAAACCTTACAGTACCGAAGTACCCTTACAGAGCCCTGCCCCATAAAGGAACCCTATAGACCCTCTTAAAGGTACCCTCATAGAACCCCCAAAGAAAGCAGGGCTTAATCTAAACCCCAAAACACCCTTAGGGATCCCTTGAAGGGAGCTCCCTTAAAGGTACCATTATAGAACCCCCAAAGAAGGCAGGGCTGGAGCGGGACGTCATCGGCCGCAACGCCGGCCTGAGCTCCTTGGGACTGGCAAGCGCGTGGCCTCGCGCTGTCCAGCTCCGGGGACGACCTTTAGACCCTTGAAACCAACCCTAAGGGTCCAAAGGACCCATGATCAGGTACTTGGGTTTAGGATGGTAGTTATGTAGCTTAATATTTAAGAGAGTATATGATTATTATATACTTGGACCCTTAGGGTAATCCCCTTAATCGCCCTGATAGTAGCCCTTATAGACCCCTTTAACCGAACCCTACGGTTCTTGGGAAGCGCTAAAAGCGTATCGGAATGAGGTCAGGGCTCAGGGGTTTCGCGTACCGAGCTCCGGGGGCCGAAACTGGTTTTTCTTGTGCTGACAGCAATACGGGTGGTTACAGGGTATTTTGGGGGGGTCTAAGTATATACCATAGTAATACTTGGACCCTTTGGGTAGTATGGTGGTTCAACTTGGGTGGTTGTCAAAAGTAGGGTCCCTTGTTGGGTCCTTATTATAATACGGCGCCTTATATTTAGGGTACCCAGAAAGGGACCATAATTTTGACAACCACCCATACTCTAGGAATCCAAGGACTCATAGCTCCATAATAGGGACTCATGAAAAGGGATCTATAGGGGTTCTATAAGGGTTCCTTTAAGGGGATCTATAACCTTTATAGGCTCTAAAGACTCATATATAAGGCTTTTGGGCCCAAAATACTGTATAAGGCTTTTGGGCTATTTTGATGCCCAGGGATAGGTAAACGCCAGAAAGTTGGAACATGGCTTTAAGAGGATAGGTGCTAGGATCCCTTATGCTTTGCCTTAAGGGCATGACGAGTCTAATGTTCCAACTTTCCGGCTTCTACCATAGTTGTTATTGCTTCGATCAAAAAGCCAGAAGGTCTAGTGCTATGTTCACTTTCATTATTAGGTGTTGCTTTGTTTGAATCTAGTATAGCTCATATGTTTGTTTGCCTTTTTTTTTGCATGTGTGGCTTGGGGTTGAAGGTTCAATTGCAATTGAGATTCGCTTTTTGTTTGTCGCATTGCTGTTTTGATTCAAGCTGGTGAATTCGCAATTTACCAGGGCCCTCCTTGTTCGCGCAAATAGGGGTATATGGTCCCAAATAAGGGGCATTTAGGGTCTAATAGAGGGCAGATGGAGGGTCTAGGTATAGGTTTGAGGGTTCAGGACGAGGGGCAGTTTCTCGTCCAGCAGAAAGCCTTAAACCCTTAAGCCCTGTACCCCTAACTAGCTGAAACCTAACCCTAAACCTGCCCATAGTCTCCATTGTAGTCCCTTTTTTTTTGGTTTAACCAATTATATATTAAGGATCCTATATAAGGTAACCCCCAAAAAGAATTACAATGGAAACCCTAAACCCTAAACCCCTAAACCCTAAAACCCTAAACCCCTAAACCCTAAACCCCTAAACCCCTAAACCCTAAAAACCTAAACCCCTGAACCCTAAACCCCTAAACTATAGGCAACCCTAAAGCTGAAATCCGAGGTTATTTTGGCAGATGGGTTCTTCGAAGCTGGCACCAGATCAAGTCAGCTGTAGCTCCGCCATCGCCGCTTGTGGCGTGGTTGTTGCTGGAAACGCTTTAGGGTTTTGGGGTTTAGGGTTTAGGGGAGGTGACAGGTGTACTAAGATCCCAAAGGGTCCAAAGTACCAATATAGTAGAAGGTAGGGTTTCCATAGTAGGAATTCATATTATTTATGATAGGTACCCCCCATAACAGTACATAGGAGCCTTTGCGTAAGATGTTGTTGCTGTTGTCAGCTTTCGGATGCTGGCAGAGATCGGTACAGTTGAGGTGGGAAGGGTCTGCAATGGCAGATGGCGCTGCGCTTTCTTCTGGAGGTCATGCCGGCCATCTCCCTGCAACGGAATGAGGTTAGCTTTAATGCTGCTATCAGTGCTTGTGAGCCGTTGGGATGCTGGGCGCACGCAGTTTATCTGCTCGCACAGATGCCCATTCTACGGTGTTACCCGGACAGCATCGGCGCCAATGCCGCCATCAGCGCCTGTGGGAAAGGCGACCAGTGGCAGCTCGCTCTCCACCTGTTCCACTCGCTGCCTCTTGGGCTCACAAGGAATGTAGAGGCCTAAATGCCGAGTAATATCATTTCCTTCGATAACTGTCCCTAAACCCCAAACCGGGGGTGGAGTGTGGGGACAATTATTGGGGATTTTCTAGTAAATACAATATATAGGGATCCATTCCCCCATTCCCTACTAAGCACCAAGCAGAAAGTACCCGTATAGATCCCGTATAGTAGCCTTATAGACCCTTAAAATCTTAAAAGAACCCTAGTCTAATTATTACGGCCCCCGTATGTCGGAGCGTAGAGGGGTTCACTTGTCTCATCGATTTTCCCGAACGCTGACCTTTGGGCCTGCAGGGTCCTCCCCATAACTTACCCTAGGCCTCCAAGTATACAAACAGGACTTACTTGTTGGTCTAAAGTCTATAAATACTACCTAAAAAGGCCTTTTTGGAGCCCCAGGGTCGTGTCTATCGGTGTACAGTACGATATGATGATGAGAGTCGTTGTTAGGGTTTAGGGTTTGCATATAGGGATTTAGCATGTTTATAGGGCATGTTGTTTAGGAAAGTTTGAGGCCTTCCACGGGTGTCAGCCCTGACGCGATCAGCTTCAATGCTGCTATCAGTGCGTGCGAGAAGGTGGGAGACACCAAATAATGCAGGGTTTGGGTTGTGGGGGGTGTGCGAGAAGGTTTCAGACACCAAACAATATAGAAGCCTGAATCCTCATAATTGCATTTTGGGGGTTTGAATAGGCATGTAGGGGCTACAGGGGTCATGTTTTAGTCCTTCCGACTGCTACAGTGTGTTCCTAACGTATTGGCCATTTTTGCAAGAGACTTTTGGGAAATCGCAAGCTTACCATAGGGTACAAGTACCTGTAGGGGCCGAAATAATTAGAATAGGGTTTTTTGGGGGTCCTTATTAAGTTATAGTATAATGTACGCAGGGTACAGACCCTATTCTAATCATTACGGGCCCTACATTACCTATATAGTCATATACTCGCACAGCT